GTATTATGTATTTTTTTCAAATTTCATTTTAGTATTTATTCATAATCTAAAATTCTTAAATCAAAAAGAATAAAGATTTTACTAATTAATTATTAAAATACTTTTAAAATAATCAAAAATAAGTTTTTGTTATATTTAAAGATTATGAAATAATTAATAAAGGAATTATTCATTTTAAAAGTTGTATTTATACAAAATTGCTTTATTATTAACTAATAAAATAAATATGTTTAAAGATTTATTTTATAATAAAAATTTATTATTATAAATAAAAATAACTTTTTAAAAAATACAACTTATATCTTAATAAATTTATTTTTCAAAAGTTGTTTTTACATAATAATTTTAAGATGATTTATAATAAAATATTTATACTAATTATCTATTACAAAAGAACTACAGTCAATATTCAATATAACAAATTTAACATCTAGACTAATTAGGTTTTATTATAAGTAAATTTATTAATATTATAGTAAATTATTTAATAAAATTATTTGATATAATAAATAATACTGATTTTATTACATAATATCTAATATGTATAACTTTTAATATAAATATAATAAGATATAATTTTTTCAGAAATATTTCTTACATTATTTTATAAATTTTAGTATTATTTTATAAAAATCAAAAATATTATTATAATATTTTTTTTATGATATACAATCTTATATAACATTTTTATTATTTATAAAGATTTTTTTAAAAAAAACATTATATTTATTTTTTTATTACTTAATAATTGACAAGTTGCAGTTTTATTTTTGAGTGTATTTTGATTCTAAAAAAGTAAATATATTTAACATAAATCTAAAAAACCAATTAAACATTTTTAATTATTACCTAATCTGTCCCAAAATCTTGTTTTAAAGAGATCATAATACCTATTTCTTATATACATTTTCTCCTTTTCTCACTCTATTGTGATAATCGCAAAAATCCTAAAAAATATTAATTATACTATTAAGTTATATTTATCATCATATTATTATTTATTTATTTACTTATATTATAATCTCTAATTAAATTTCTCCATTTCTACTCATATTGTGAATAGGATACCTTGTATAATATCTTCTTGTATTATCCATCTTTTAATTCAGAATCAATTTTAATTTTTGATAGCTATAATATAAAAAAATGTAAAAATAAAATATTAAAAATATAATATAAGAAATAAAATATATATACCTTACTTAATTTCAAATTCTTTTTAATAAGCAACAAAATCATCTCTATTATGAACATCAATATACATTTCTTTTGCATATTGACTAAATATAAAACTCATTTTTTTTTAACCATCGGATTGCTGTTTTTTACTATAAAGATATTAGAATTTTATTTTAACTATAAAATAATTTATAAAATATAATGTAATAAATACCTGATTTTAGTTTTTGTCCATGCCAACAGAAGGTAAAATTTTATTACAAAACTTATTAACGGTTATATCAAATTTGTGTTATCGTAGATATGATGCTACCTTTAATTGAACATCCTAATCATCAAGAATGCTACTTCCTTTAAGATGTTTTTCATGATTATTTTTAAGAACATCACCATAATTGATAAATGCTTTAACTTCTAACACAGCGAGCAAACCATATTCTTCGATTAAGAAGGTCTGCAACAGTTTTTACTTGCTTCTAATATTGCATGTCATTTATTAAGGAGTTGTAAATAATGCTGAACAGCTTTAAATCGTAACTTATGTCCTGGAGTTAAATCCTTATTCTCAAGTTTTAATTTACTTTAAATTACATTTAATAATTTTGTAAATATAAAAATTGGAATCAAAATCACTATCATTAGAACCACCACCAAAATCCCCGCCAGAAGAATTGTTACCAGGACTCCTACTAGAGGAATTATTATCCGAACCTCCGCCAGAAGAACTATTATTAAAAACCCACCAGTGGAATTATTACCAGAACCACTGCTAGAGGAATTATTAACAGAATCTCCACCAGAAGAACTACCACCTAAAGAATTATCACCACCAGAAGAATCAGAATGAATACTTTTATTTGATAACATTTGATAAAGTGTTTGCCCATTTTTTTTTGATTTTCTAAATGCTTTGATTTTTTTTTCGATATTGGTTGTGCGTGAGTTTCCTAAATTTACTAATAGACACTTAGAAGACTTCGATTCTTTCATATTTTTTATTAAAACCCGAAAAAAGCCATTCCGCTTCATTTTCAATTTGGTCATCAATCCTCTTCTGTGCTATTTTCATCATCCGAATTTAAAATATTAGTGGGATTAATATCAGTATCATCATGACTTTTTCTTTATTTTGCTATATTTTTTGACAATGTTAAGTTTGTCGTTTCGATCGTCCCATATTTACAAAAAATTTTTAAAAAAGAGAACTCATCATCGTTAGATTAGCTATATTTAAATCTGGCCAACATTATATAATTTCAGCATAACACCGGCCAGAATTATATGTTTCAAATTTCATTTACCTTAATAAAATAACTAAACTTTGCGAGCTAATAACTTTTTGATCTAGATGTCCAATTGAAATAATCTCGAAATTAAGTTATAGCTCTGGGTTAATATCTATCACACAATGCTGAGATATTTTAAATTTATACATTAAAAAAATTTTTATTAAATTTTTAAGTTTAACAAATTTATTTGATGATTTATTGTGTCCCAAACCGTACTACTGGAAACAACTATATTGTTTGCAGAATGTCCTGACCTTGTTGAACTTTCAGGTTGTTGAGTTTCAAGTGTTTTTGTGCTAATATAACTTTCCACTTCAGAATCCACTAAATAAATTAGTTCATCATCCTCTATATCAGAGGAATCGGAACGTGCGGGTCTATCAACAGTTACTACGTCAATTTCTTCATCATCTTCATTTTCTTGTTTTACTTGATTATTTCGGGAATGTTCCGTTTCCTCTTCACTCACAATATCAAATTCATCTTCCCTTTCTTCATATACTATATTATCGTCAATTTCTTTAAACGCCGGATCCCAACAAACCCAATCTTCTTTATGTCTCGTTGTCCACGTATACATTGTTCCTTCTACATCCACTGATATAATTATCGGCTGTATAGGATGTTGAGCAAGGTCTATACACGTTTCATTTGGTCCTTGTAGAACTTGTACCAGCCTGGTAGTTCTTCTATCCCATATAAATATTTCGTGCGATGCTAATTTTCCAGAACCTTTTAAAAAGGGAAACCCAATTATTTATTGTTTTTAATTAAAGTTAATTCTTAAATAAAAAGGAAAATACAAACCTCCTATTAGGTAGTCACCATTTTGACTGAAACAGCATTGGTTCCAATTATCTTTATTCACAGTTTCCGCAAATTGAAGTTCAGATTTTATATCCATCCCTTCGTCGTCCAACCCATAAAGTCGAATCGTTTTGTCTGAAATATTAACAGCAACCGTTCTATTATAATAAAAATATAAATAACCAAAAAAGATAATCCCTTTAGACAAGAATAAATATGAATTTTATAAAATTTCACCACATATGCCCTTGGCAACCGAGAATCTACACATACTTCCCGTTACGGCTAACAGATATATTTCTTATAGACAAGTGACTAAGTTTTGGATTGTCTAATATCTAAAAAATATACCGAAAAAAAATAAAATAAAACATTTATAAGCTAAAAAAAAAAAACATTGAAAAAAAAAGGAAATCCTATTATTCTGTTTACTTACTCTTCGAGTAGTTGGATCGATTACATTCAAATAACCTTTATTCGTCCCCGTCAGAATTCGGTTTCCACGCTTATCGTATCGACAAACAACTGTTTTACTATATAGCGGAGTATTATTGCCTAACATCAGTAACAAGTAAGTTTCTTCCAAAAGTGTTACTCTACAAATAATAAACAGAATTGAAAAATTTTAACACTTTACTGTATATAAAGAGTCGAATTCGTCGTTTCTTCACTGCTGCTGTTGTTCGCGTCAGACAAAGACTCTGCATTCGTTGGTAATGGAAATCGACGTATCGTGTCGCCTATTTCTACAATCACCGGAGAATCTTGGTATATTGAAGCAACGAAAATAAAACTATTATTGACGATTGAGCTGTGAAATACTTGAAAATATTTTTTCAATTAAACAAAGAATTTAAATATATACTGACTTATTTCTCGGGTGCATTTGAGACATAAGTACTGGTCCATCGAAACGGATCCATTTTTGAGTGCCTTTCGTTATATCCCAATAAACGCACTTGTGGTCTTCACCAGACGAGAGGATACAGCGACCATTACGTGACCAGCTAGTTGAAAAATTGAATTATTTGGAAATTATCATTGATCAATAATGAAAAAAAGTTAGCTTTAAAAAAAAATTCATTAAAAGATAATAATATAATGAAAATTGACTTGGATGAAATAAACGTTACCTTACGCTTGTCACTGAGCTTACATGACATCTCATTTTACGGATAATACTCATTGACTGAAAGTCCCATATTATGCAGTAACCATCGGAACAACCACCTGCTAACATCGTGCCTCGTTTATTAAAGCTGATACAACGTACAGGTCCATCTCTAACGGTCGCTTCAAGTTTAGCAGGATAATCTGATTCGAAAGGACCTTGAAAAATGATAAAATAACGTGAAAGATAAATTGTTAATACAAAGAATAAAAATGGATCTTCTTTACAAGGACAAAAACTTACTTCTCAGTTCTAGATTCATTATTTGAAACTTGTTTTAGGAATGTTAATGTTAAGGAATAGGTTGAAAAAATTTTTTGAAGTACAAAAGAAAAAAAAAAAAAAATGCAAAAATACGAGTATGAATAAAGTAAATAAATTGGTGATAATTGGTGATACAACCAGTCACAATTGTGACATAGTGATATTCAATGATTTTCTAATGTTAAGACTATATGATAAATTTGACCTAATTGGACAATAAAATGACTAGTAGATATATAGCAACCCCGCGTTTTATTGAACGTGTTTTTTTTTATTGCAACTTATTCAATATGGTACGTGTCTTTTATTATAATTTTTATTGTGTATATCTTTTTATTTCTTTTTACTTCCGAATAAATTATTTCAATTCTTATAGAGTTTAGGTAATAGGCGCAACCGGAGTGTACTTGATGCAAGTTTTATTAATGCTTTTTATTTAAAAATAAATAAATAAATAAATTTGTAGTAATGCAACTACAATTAATACAAAAATTATTTATTTTTTTGTAGGAAGACGAAACAGAAGCGGGCCCTAGTAGACCAACGAGACGTACCGCTTTAAGAGATGAAAGTGCCAGAAATGTTCAAAAACGAAGGCGACGCGATGAAGAAGAAGAAACTGAAGCGTCGTCTAATGAAGGATCTGTCAGTCAACCTTCCACTATCGCCGAGAAAGCAGCTCAAAAATTGACTGCAGAGGTAAGTAACTTTCTTAAAGTTTAACTGCTTTGTGTATTTGTTATGTAAATGTACAATTTTATTTTCTCAGGAACTAGAGCGCAAAGTTAAGGATGTGGTGAGACTTGCTTTGTTTTCAGAACTCCGAAAACAACCATTGAAGAGAGAAGACGTAACAAAAAAAGGTAAATTACTCAAATTTAATTAATCAATTATGTTTCTAAACCAACAATAATTTTTTTTTATTAGTATTACACGAACATTCCAAAACTTTTCAAGTCGTATTTGAAAAAGCTCAAGAACTTCTCGTAGATATTTTTGGAATGAGCCTCGCAGAATTACCTTTAAAAGAAAAAAAAGCCGGAGGATCACGTAAACGTAAGTTTGATTTTTTAGCATGAATTTAAATCTGGGTATAACTTACTATTCCTCCTTCATAAACGAACCTTTAGCTACTTCCTCGACAAAGTATGTTCTGAAAAATATTCTTTCTCAAGATTATAGAAAGGTAGGTATAATAAGTTGGGAAAAAAATAATGAAGAAGAATCTATGGGATTGCTCACCGTCATTCTGAGCTTGATACATGTAAACGGAAAACTTTTATCAGATGGTAAATTAATTAATTATATATATATATCTATCTATGTTTTCGCATATTATTTATTATATATATTTGTTAATTGAAACTTTGTAAACATTTCAGAACAGCTTGCACATTACTTTCGTCGTTTGTGTCTAATTGACAATGATAAATTTGATTTAGAAAAAGTTTTATCAACATTTGTCAAACAAGGATATTTGAATAAACAAAAAGTGAGCAGATCTGATCAATCTCAGAACCCAGAAAAAGAATCACTTGAATATTCTTGGGGTCCTCGTGCAAAAGTTGAAATGCCAGAGGAAAACCTTATCGAGTTTATTCGAGCAGTAAGTATTATTATTAACTTAATACAATGATAAAATAAAATAAATTATTTTGCATCCATCTTTTTAACCATCTGTTAATTAAATTCTTTCATTTCCCAGTTATTCGGTCAAAGTGCCCCTCCTGATCTTGATAAACAAATAGAAAGATCATCTGGAATATAAAATTATAATAATGTCTTAATAAGAATGATTCCTTATGTTATCAATGAAATCTTATGTATTCAATATAATGATTTATTTCTTGACTATAAACTTTGTCGCTAAAAGTTTGGCGAATTTGATTCCAGATTTCTACATAATTTTTTTTTTTTTTTTTTAAAACTAAAATAACCCATTGGTACGCCGAAATTTTCTCGCCGATAACCATTTGCGCGTAAAAAATGAAAAATTTTAAACGAAATGTTTGGTTTTAACCTTTCATTTATTTTTTTTTTATATAAAAAAAAAAAACGTTGCGCTATATGGTGGTAACATTACCCCTCCAATAATCTCGTATTATTCATGGAATATAGACTCGAGAATATCCTTCTACTGTTCGGCGGCAGCAAGGACAAGATCTACAATAATAATCAATAAATGTTAACAGAAAATAAAGTATGACGCGTATTTGCGAATAATAAACATACTTGAATTTGCGCTGAGCCATCATTTCACGACACTAAAAATAAAAAAATTTTTAATTTGATTAAATCAACACTATAAAACAAAAAAAAATAAATATTTTCATTATTCCTAAACCAACCTCATTACAAAGTGCGAAACATCCACACGGCTTTAAAAGACACTGGCGAGCTTCTCCATGGCAGACAACACAAACACGATCCGTAATTGGTTGTGTAGTAAATGCACGTGGTATACGTCTTTCATGAATTAATGTCATTAACGCATCTGACTCATCTAGTGAGGTCGAAGACATTGATGTCTGTGTAATCCTTCGATACTGTGTCCTTGTTAGAGTTGTAGAATGCAACAAATGTGCAAGCATTGATTGCATTATGGAATTTGTTGTTGACGCGGATTGTTGATCATCACGTTGTTCTCTAAGGTCATTTCCTAATAAAATTAATTCATCACCAGGAATTATAGAATCTTCAATTTCTTCATGACCTGAGTCTAAATCGGACTCGTCATGTTCAGCACCTGAAGAGCTATTATAAACATAATCATCATCCTCTTCTTCATCCTTGTCTTCTAAATCCTCATAAAGAAATTTATGATATATTTCTTCATCCCAATCAATTTCATCCAATTCTCCAGCCTCATTAGTAATAGATTGATTATTTTGTACGATTTGTCTTCCACCATAAAACGACCAGATCCAGTTAACAAATCTCATAATCACATTTATAAAGACTTGAATAATTTCCAAAACAAAACTTGACCAGACAATAACACGACGTGGATCTTCAGATTCCGTAGAAGTCAAATCATTAGTATCCTGTTGCTCATTATCATATCCACGTTTATTAGAGTTTTCAACAGAGGTTCTTGACTTTCTCTTTTTTGAACGTTCAAATATTGTTCCTAAAGGAACAGCTATTGGTGGAAACTCATTTCGAAATCCATCAACACGATTTGTTTCGATCACTATAGTACCAATTCTGTATAAAGCCATTGTATAATCTTCATGAAGAGATGGCATCGATCTGGCATCTAAAAAGAATGTTCGCCGTACATTGCCACCAGTTACGATGTAGGCAATTATATGAAGAATAACACATATCAAAATAACAGCAATCAAAGCTAATTCAGGAAATCTAGCAAAACTTTGTAGAATTGGATATGTTTCTGATCTATAAAATAATGCATATGCATAATGAACTATAACAAACGAAATTTTTGTTAGATGCGTGTAAATAAAAAATGTTAACATTAGTAAATTGTCTTACTAATTCCAGATACTCCGACAATGGTTGTGGGAATGAGTCGATATTGAATACCACGTGGATGAAGATATAGAACTTCAAGAAAGAAAATGTCTATTACTTCTAGGAAAGCTATGAGAAGTAGATGAGTGTTCGATGTGTTCGGGGTAACATTACAAAAGTAATGAAATAACAAAGCGTATTCGTAAAGAGTTGTGCTTTGTTCTCTCCCTGGCAAACTAAAGTAAAGTAAATGGATTAATGTAAAAGTATTCTAGGCATAATAATTATTTGTTCATGAAGAATTTCAGTTGTAATTTCATAGTTTCAACTTTCAATTATTTTTTTTTTTTTTGAATTAGAAATCTGACTGTCATAATTTAAAAAATATTCTTGAAACCGAACCAACAATACAAATTAAGTCATACCTTCTATTCTCTAGACTTGAATGAAACGCTTTCATTACATATACAGCTGACAAAGCCTTCAAAGTCAACCATAATGCTTGATGATCGGTATAATCAATGCCACAATCAAAAAGCCATTGTGAAAAGTATGATCGTATGGAAGGAGTCCCTATAGCAAGTCGCGACAAAAGAACGCAAGCTGCTCTTGCGATTAAATAAAAGCAAGGCAAACGAATTAAAAATCTAGCCATTTTCGATAATGGGCGTGGATTACGAGGGGATACAATGGCATTTATCCTATTATTTAAAACATTCTGTAATTTTCAAAAAATTAATGACTTCATATGTAAAATAGGGTAATCCATTTAAATAAAGTTTAAAATAGATCTTACAACAAAAATTGCTAGATATAAGTGATTTGAATATAAGAAATTCCATAAAGTAGGTTGATACTCGCGTGGCTCTAACGGTCGACCATCGATATCAACCACTTCGGCTCCAGGAAGCCACCGCATAACATTGTCCACACCCTTGGACATAACCTCAAGCATAAAGTCTAAAAAACTTGTATCCTCAAAGTCCATATTCATTTTTGCTTATAATATTATTGTAATTTTTATAGTAGACCGTTTCGAAAAGTTCGAAAGGCAAAAAAAAAAATCGACTGAAAAAAATATATATAAAAAAGTGTTGTTATTTTATAAATAATATAAATAGAAACTGTAGAATTGATGTCAGACCAAATTGGTCAGCCGCCAAATTTAGCCCTTCTTTTTGTGTCCAATAACAGCATGACTATAATTTTTTTTTGGATACATGTGACCCGAAACTTCGGATCTTCTTCCGAATTCTTGGGAAAAACTTAAAGAAAATAAATGAGAGTTTACTAAAAAAGAGATTATAAGAGATTACATTATATTTGATTAATTTTTTTTATGATTTACACACTTAACAATACCCTTTTTTTTTTGAAAATTTATAATTAAAATTTATTTATATTAATTAATTAATATCACGTGGAAATAACCATTCTTCAACAAATTAAATGATTTGGATTCATTTTTTGGTAAAGTATATGCTTACGAATACGATGTTCTAATTAATCCTAAAATATTTAAATTATACTTTTTTTAGAGGAATTCGAAATTTTTTTTTTAAATGATATGGTACTATTAGTTTATTAAATTTATAGAATATTACAACAATAATAAAATTTTAAAGACTAATATAAAATAATTTTTATGGTTTTTAATTACCAGAACTTTCTTTTAACAGAACCAGAGGATTCATATTCAATGATAGAGTTTTCAATAAGAAATTTAAATAAAGCTGTAATAGGATAATTTTTTATAAAAAGTTATACAGAAAAAATGGTTCTAAATACAATTAAATTTTAGGATTTAGGCTGTTATTAATGACTAATTTTTGTTCTTTTTTTTTGCATTTAAATTATTATTTAGAACTTTAACCAATTTAAAATAGGTTTTAGATATCAAAATTTTATGCTTACTACTTATCTTTAAAAATCAAGAGAGCATACAGAATATAAAATATTTAAAATTCTCTTAATATTTATATAAGTCTAATTTGTATATTATTTTTTTATAATATTTTAAGTAAATTTAAAAGTGATTTTTTTATAAAATACTAAAGTAAATTATCTTACTAAAAAATTAGAATTATTCTAAAATCTATCAAAAATTATATCTCTTAAAATATTGAGTTAATTCTTTTTTATTACATGATATATAAAAAAGTTATTTTTTGTTTAAAATATTAAAACAATAAAGTCTTATTAAAAATTTAAATATAATTAAATTTTTATACAAAAAAGTTTTATCATAAAATTTAAATATGTTTAATCATAAATTCTAGACTATAAATCTAATATCTTAAATACTTAAATTTTTTATAAAATAAAAAATATATACAATAAATATTAACCTAAAGATAAAGTAATATATTTATTATATTTATCATATAAAATATTTAGCTAGTTTTTTAATAAAAATAGCAAATTTTTATTTATATATAATACATACTTTAATAAAATCAGATAAAGTGAGTATTCTATTAATGACATAAATAAGAAATTAATGTGATTTAAAATTAACTAATTTAACTAATAATATTTTGATTATCATAGCTGTAACTATAACAAATTATGTAAATATAACAAATGACATTAATTATAACATATGATACTAGTTATGTTATTGACACTAGTTATAGCATATGATATTAATTACAACATATGATAATACTATATTTGCTATGTAATATGTTATCTAAATATTATAACCATAAGATGTTAATATATTTGCACCTTTATTTAATATTATGGTCAGTTCTTTAAGTTGCTTATAAGTGATAAGTGAAGCAATATTTTGTAGTAATAAGTAGAAGGTTTATTTTGTAATTAGTTTTAGAAGAGTGTTGGTCAATTAACAGTTTATTTAATAATGATAATAAATGGAGTACTGTTTCAATCAGCGCTCTGTATTATACAAGTATGTTAAGAAAATTAAACTAAACTATTTTTTAAAATTATTTATCTGATACACTGCTAAGCTAAAAGAAAATGTCCTCTATTTATATAAAATAAAATTCATAAAGTTATTGAAGATATAAAAGAAATAAATAAAATATATGAAATAAATATAATATAATAAATTTATAAAATAAATAAAATGAAATAAATAAAAGAAATATATTGTATAAAAGAAATATATATTATAGATAATATAAAAGACGTATAAGATATATATATTTTCTTAAGGATTAATATCATTTTTTTGATCATCATAGTAGGACAAAATTGGGGGTTTTGGGGTCAAAATCGAAAAAAGATATCCAGAAAGATCCCAATCATAGGCCAGAAACTCTTCTA